AGAAGAAGATTTTTGAAATATTGGATAATTTTCCCTTTGGGGCCCCGCCCTGGCCCCAGGGGTTGGGGTAGGAATCCCAATTTTACAATTTTGAAGCCTCATCTACCAAGGATGATTCTGACCAAGTTTGAAAAAAATCCATCCACTGGTTCTTGAGAAGAAGTTGAAAATGTAAAAGTTTACGCACGACGACGACGGACGACGACGGACGAAAAGCGATTAGAATAGGTCACTTGAGCAAAGCTCAGGTGACCTAAAAAGGCGTAATATAAAATATATCCTTAAAAAACAAAATATTGCAATAAAAAAAATATAGAGACATCTATATTAACATCGTATTGCTAGTTAAATATGTATCGTCTGTTTAGTTTTCATATGCTTTGATGACGCCATACATATGACAAAACAAGTCCCTGACAAATTCAGTGTATCGACACACAAATTATGAACATATGCTCAACTGTATGTAAATGACTTAATGATTGTTAGCTATCCACACTGCCACTGCCTTGAAGTTTATCTCAAATACAGGTGGAAACTATAGCATTTGTTGTAAATTTGTAACGTTGTAAATTTGTAACATTGTAAATTTGTTACATAACGCTGTAAATTTGTAACATTGTAAAAGGTTTTAGAGGCCCTATGTTCACAATTTAAACACATTTAATAATGTAAATAAAACCATCATTAAACTGACAACGATTTATAACGAATTATTATTTCGTTTTATCGAAATAATATTTCGTTTTTTCGAAACAATATTTCGTTTCATATTTCGAAATATTATTTCAACAAATGAATATTATTTCGTTCTAACAAATTTTTATATCGTTTTATCGAAATATTATTTTGTTGAGCCAAATTATTATTTCAATATAAGGAATTATTATAATTATTCTATTTCATTCGAAATATTTTCTTAAAATGAGTTAAAATTCTGATTTGTTTTAGCAGGAACGTATACTGTCCCTGGTTTTAGAAACATTAAAACGAAATACATTTGGAAACAACAGACCAATGATCTTTTACTTTCAATAGTGATCAATAGTACATTTAATCCAAATATGCTTTTTCTTGACAAAAGGATGTTGAGGAATGACTAACAAATATATATGTAGCTAGAAATTTTCAGAGAAAAAAAAATCAAATAAAAGAAAGATATATTTCAACGTGCTAAAATGTACTCCCTCTCCAGGGAGGAAAAGGGTGACCCGGGAGTAATAAAATTCATATGCATGATAAATAACCTTAAGATTTTCCATCAAATAAGAATAGGGGCGAGTCAGGGTCTTCATATCAAACTCTATTCACATAATGATAATCCAACTGAAAATGTGCAATAAATACCAAAAAGTTATATTTGTCTTTGCAAACTATAATAAAAATGTTCCCTCCCCAAGGGGGAATGGGTGACCAGGGAGTGATAAAATTCACAATTTGATAAAACACCTTCAGACCCTTACATCCATAAAAGAGGTAATTGATTCCCGCACATTTCGGTCCGAGGAAGAAGATTGTTGATATTGGACTCATTTTGGCCCTGATCCTGGGCACTGTGTGTTATTTAGTGAAATTGGTTTTGTGGATTAGGTTAAGAAGTCAAAAATGTGACTTGTATCCGAATGGCCGACGGCAGACGCCGACCGACGACGCAGGAAAATAGATCGAAATAGGTCAGCTTAGATTTTGACTAAGGTGACCTTAAAACGAGTTTAAATGAGAATATAATTTGATAACACGAAATAACGATTAGTTATAACGAAATAATAATTCAATAAAACGAAATAATAATTTGATAAATGACAATAATATGTTATAACAAAATAAAATAAGTGTGAAGCATGTCAGTTTAGGGGCTCCGTACTATGTAACTTATTAGAAGTTCCTGATATTTCTTTATTAAACAATTCTTCACAGCCATGTGCTATATCATACAGATATCAATGCGAGACAGAATATATCAGTTAAATTATAATTATATATCAGAGTGAGACAGACACTATCAGTTAAATTATTATTCTATATCAGAGTGAGACAGACACTATCAGTAAAATTATAATTCTTTATCAGAGTGAGACAGAATGTATCAGTAAAATTATAATTCTTTATCAGAGTGAGACAGAATATATCAGTAAAATTATAATTCTTTATCAGAGTGAGACAGACACTATCAGTTAAATTATTATTCTATATCAGAGTGAGACAGACACTATCAGTAAAATTATAATACTCCTGCTCTTTCTGTAGCATACGTATAGCCAAACACAAATCTAAACAAATTCATAATAATTTAACACTTACCACACATAATCAACTACAAAGTATATAACCAAGAGGTTGAACATTGACTTCAAACACTTAATTCATTTAATATAATAATATTTTGATAAAACATCAGGGCCTTTATTCATGAATTATTCTCATAGTTTAACTCATAGTGTGCACTTTAATCCTGTTTATTCTAAATTGACCTGGAATTATTGCGAATAACAGCTTAACAAAATATGGTCCATTTAAATAAAACTGTTGGTTTAGTGCTCAAATTCAATGTGTTCCCTTCAGTTACACAATTTATGTACTTAATCTGACCATTTTTTGCAGTGGGGTAAAATGTAAGCATTTCACATGGGAGTTCTACATTACAAGTTTTGGTAAATTACCAAAAAAGGTAATAAATTATGGCTACATGTATATATCACAGAGTATTAAAAAGTAAATGGCTTGGTAACTATATAGTACATGTATTAAATAATGTAATGCCAAAGTACCTACAAGTATTCAATTATGGCTGAGTGTATATCATAAACTATTTAATAACATAATGGCATTGTATCACAAACAGTGAAACTATAAAATAATTGGATTAAAAAATACCTTCCGACTTCAATTAGGAAAAGAGTATGATCTCACGAACCATTTCCTGATTATTTGGGCAGTATTGCAATTCCAAACGAATGTTCTTTTGAAACTACTCAATATAGCACTCCAACAATTCAAACCTAACAATTTAAAATGTGTATTGCAAAAACGTTAGCTGTAACCTATTTCATTACTAACAGGGTGAGTCGATGTATCCACTGTTCCTAGTGATTCCTATATAACACTGACCCGAGATACATTGTACACCTGAAGAGTGAAAGCAATTGTGATCCAACAGGTATAGTTACATCTGTTCATTTACAGAACATACTTATATCGTTTTGAATTATTTCAAATGTTTCTTATATTGTTCTCTTCTCTTTTAGTGAATTGCGTACTTACTGATATACTAAATGAATTAAAACTGTAACGACCGATATATCTGATCATCTGTAATGCCCGATATATCTGATCATCTGTGTTGACCGATATATCTGATCATCTGTGTTTCAATTAGAGGTACATACACATGGAAGTAGCTTTGTCATTTCAGAACTAGCACATATAACACACCTGATCGTGTTAGGTTCCAATTAGAACTGTTTCTATATGTCATTCCTTATTGTCGTCCTTCATCACGTTCATTGATTAGGTAAGAGTCAAGATAACCATTGTGTTCAATAATCATCGTCATCATCATCATCATCATCATCATCTTCATAATCGTCATCCTCATCATCATCGTCGTCCTCATCATCATCTTCATAATCATCGTCATCCTCATCGTCCTTGCCATCATTTTCATCGTCATCAAGGTCAAACTCATCAGTTTTAGTGTCTTCCTCGTTGTCATTAAGCTCCAGTGTGACATCACATTCTGTACATTACAAACCAAACAGCAAGTATCAGAGTTATGGAACAAATACACAAAAATAACAAAAGTTTGCCATTTTATTCAAATTTCATTCCCTATGTATCACACCCAGAATCAATTTTTGTAGTTGATCACATATATTTTTTGAAAATTTGTCTAGACAAGGCTGAAGTTATTCAGTACAAAAGAAACAGGAAAAAACATACCAGGTGCTCACCTGCAACATGTACCAATCATTCATTATAATGTTAGTGCAAAATCTGCTCACTAGTCTAGAGGGAAGTGTCTGGACAAGGACAGACAAGCTGATTACAGTACACCCACACCAAACTTCATTGCAGAGGTCATATAACAAAGAAAAGGATAAAATACATAAAAAGGGAAAGACAGAAATTGCTTATATATGGATTGGTCATGGTTCATTTACAGTGAAGTCTCAAAAATTGAGCTTTTAAAAAGGTTATTATGGGAATGCATATACTGATGAGCATTGTTTATCACATATATTAAGTATCCCTGTCCCAATAAAGGCAAAAGAGAATTTTACTGTAGCTTTTCGTACATAGTGAAGTAACTGCTTGTCCAGGGTACCAATCTTGACTACAGGTAGCTCATAAGAAGTTAGATTTTAAGCAACGTATGGTCTGTGGATCCTTAAGTCTGTCATAAGTTCTGATAATTCAGAAAATTCATAAAATACTCAGAGCTACTGAGCTTTGCTATTGTTTGAAAGACTCTTCCTTTCCAAGTCTCTCTTTTCTCACAAAATGTGTCATTTAAATATGATGTTATGGAAATAATGAATTTCAAACTCAAACTAGTTTCCAGTTAACTAGATGCATGAAAATCGATGATGCTTGTTATGGTATTTATGAGAACTTCACCTGAAAGCAATTATTCATTAAATGAGATCAAAGGTCATGTAAATGACAAAGATGATTTGTGGTGCACTCCAGAATGAACAAGTTAAGATGGTTTTTGTTCCAAGGTCAAAGTCTCATTACAGGATTAGGAAGTTAGGACAGGTGTAATATTCACGGTCAAAGTCTCATTACAGGATAAGGTAGTTAGGACAGGTGTAACATTCACTGTCTAAGTCTCATTACAGGATTAGGTAGGTAGGACAGGTGTATCATTACAGGTCAAAGTCTCATTACAGGATTAGGTAGGTGGGACAGGTGTTACATTCACGGTCAAAGTCTCATTATAGGATTAGGTAGGCAGGACAGGTGTAACATTCAGTCAAATTATCATTACAGGATTAGGTAGGGAGGACAGGTGTAACATTCACGGTCAAATTCTCATTACAGGATTAAATAGGTAGGACAGGTGAAACACATTCACAGTCAAAGTCTCATCAAATAATTAAGTAGATAGGACAGGTGTAACATTCCCGTTCAAAGTCTCATCAAATAATTAGGTAGGAACAGTAGTACAGGTGTATCATTCAAGGTCAAAGTCTAATCAAATGATTAGGTAGGTAGGACAGGTGTAACATTCACAGTCAAAGTCTCATTACAGGATTAGGGAGATAGGACAGGTGTATCATTCACAGTCAAAGTCTCATTACAGGATTAGGTAGGCAGGACAGGTGTATCATTCACAGTCAAAGTATCATTACAGGATTAGGTAGGCAGGACAGGTGTAACATTACAGGTCAAAGTATCATTATAGGATTAGGTAGGTAGGACAGGTTTAACATTCACGGTCAAAGTCTCATTACAGGAATAGGTAGGCAGGACAGGTGTAACATTCACGGTCTAAGTATCATTACAGGATAAGGTAGGCAGGACAGGTGTAACATTCACGGTCAAAGGATCATTACATGATAAGGTAGGTAGGACAGGTGTAACATTCACTGTCAAAGTCTCATTACAGGAATAGGTAGGCAGGACAGGTGTAACATTCACTGTCAAGGTCTCATTACAGGATTATGTAGGTAGGACAGGTGTAACATTCACGGTTAAAGTCTCATTACAGGAATAGGTAGGTAGGACAGGTGTAACATTCACGGTCAAAGAATCATTACAGGATTAGGTAGGTAGGACAGGTATATCATTCACGGTCAAAGTATCATTACATGATAAGGTAGGGAGGACAGGTGTAACATTCACGGTCAAAGTCTCATTACAGGATAAGGTAGGCAGGACAGGTGTAACATTCACGGTCAAAGTATCATTACGTGATAAGGTAGGTAGGACAGGTGTAACATTGCAGGTCAAAGTATCATTACATGATAAGGTAGGGAGGACAGGTGTAACATTCACGGTCAAAGTATCATTACATGATTAGGAGGACAGGTGTATCATTCACAGTCAAAGTATCATTACAGAATTAGGTAGGCGGACAGGTGTAACATTACAGGTCAAAGTATCCTCATTACAGGATTAGGGAGATAGGACAGGTGTATCATTCACAGTCAAAGGCTCATTACAGGATTAGGTAGGCAGGACAGGTGTAACATTCACGGTCAATGTCTCATTACAGGATTAGGTAGGTAGGACATGTGTAAGATACTGTCTAAGTCTCATTACAGGATTAGGTAGGTAGGACAGGTGTAACATTCACTGTCAAAGTATCATTACAGGATTAGGTAGGCAGGACAGGTGTATCATTCAAAGTCAAAGTATCATTACAGGATTAGGTAGGTAGGACAGGTATATCATTCACGGTCAAAGTATCATTACAGGATAGGTTGGTAGAACAGGTGTAACATTCACGGTCAAAGTATCATTACAGGATAGGTTGGTAGAACAGGTGTAACATTCACGGTCAAAGTATCATTACGTGATAAGGTAGGTAGGACAGGTGTAACATTCACGGTCAAAGTATCATTACGTGATAAGGTAGGTAGGACAGGTGTAACATTCACTGTCAAAGTCTCATTACAGGAATAGGTAGGCAGGACAGGTGTAACATTCACTGTCAAGGTCTCATTACAGGATTATGTAGGTAGGACAGGTGTAACATTCACGGTCAAAGTATCATTACAGGATAAGGTAGGCAGGACAGGTGTAACATTCACGGTCAATGTCTCATTACAGGATTAGGTAGGTAGGACAGGCGTAACATTCACGGTCAAGGTCTCATTACAGGATTATGTAGGTAGGACAGGTGTAACATTCACGGTCAAAGAATCATTACAGGATTAGGTAGGTAGGACAGGCGTAACATTCACGGTCAAGGTCTCATTACAGGATTAGGTAGGTAGGACAGGTATATCATTCACAGTCAAAGTATCATTACATGATTAGGTAGGTAGGACATGTGTAACATTTAAGATAGAAGTCTCATTACAGGATTAGGTAGGTAGGACAGGTGTAACATTCACGGTCAAAGTATCATTACATGATAAGGTAGGTAGGACAGGTGTAACATT